CCTTCATGGGCTATTTCTATTCACACTGAACAGCCTGTCTCATGAAAACACACATTTTATAATACACATTTAGTCCTTTATTCACACATTTATTTAATCAGCTGCAGCACAGCTAGAAAAGTCACCAACACCCACCCAAACGTACAGAGATCATACACAAGAATTGCTTCAAGCAGCAGTTAGTGCTAGTAGAGTTGGTTAAACCAGTTGTGAGATACAAGCTGACATATAAAAAAGCAGAGTTAATCTTGTACTAGTTGTGGAACAAAACTCCTACCTCCCAAGTGCTTTTTATGGAGGAAAAAAAAAACCAAAGTGAAAAGCAGTTTAAGTTTTTTTTAGTTTGATTTTTTTATGAAGTGCTGCTGAAAATCATTAGCATTTTCTAGTTGAAATTTAAAAATTTTTCAGAGCTCCATCCAACCTGATCTTGAACACCTCCAGGGATGGGGCACCCACAACTTCTCTGGGCAATCTGTTATAGGCCTCACAGTAAAGAATTTTTTCTTGATACCTAATTTAAACCCTCTCTGTCAGTTTGAAGCCATTGTCCCTTGTCCTGCCACTCCAGGCCCTTGTCAATAGCCCTTCCCCATCTTTGTTGCAGGTTCCCTCAGGTACTGGAAGGGATAGACCTACATACAAAAATCTGTACATTCCATAAATCAGCATCAGTTGAATTTTAGCCCACTGATGTGCTATTGAGTGTGGGACACCTCAGGTTTCACTGTGGATTAGAAGCTTATGTTTTCTCATAGAAATTCACAATGGAGTGATGTAAGAAATTAATTTGTTGACATAACTTTTGAGAAATTAATGCTCAGTGACACAAAGAGCAGGAACTGACAAACTGGTATTTTTCCCTGCTTACCTCCGACAGGGATTTCTACATCAGCCCACCCTCTGTCACCCCTGCTGTAACTCTTGAGCACAATGAGAAGGACTGTGGTTCTTCTTTCAGCTTTTCCTCTGCTTTCTCTGCATTTTGAGACTAGTCTCAAACATTTATTTCTTATATTAACAGTAATTTTATAGGTAGTTATAGAGACTACAATTTCTTGGAAAGCAGCAACTGGAGCTACGTTCCCAAACCTTCTCCAGCTCTTCAGGAAAAACTAGATTCATTACTAGGTTCATCTTCACCCTAATATGTAGAACGGAAAGAAAAGTAAAAACAATCAGTCACAGGCACTCTCAAAGGTGGCTGAAATTCAGCTTTCAAGAAAGAGAGAAGCTTTTTGAAATCTGTCTACTATATTAAAATAAACCCCTGATATAAGTTAAGATAGTATTTGAAAAGCACTTAACAGGATACTGATTCTTTGACAAACATTTATTATCAGATTGTGAAAGCAGACTGATTACTTTATTTTTACACATAATTACAAAATGTTCTCAGTTAAGTGATGAGTCAATTAAATGTATCCCCTTCACTGCAGGATTCTGTGCATGCAGCATGTATATAGCAAACAAAAAGGCAAGACCTACTGCACATTTTTCTTATGAAGCTGCCACTATCTGGTCCATCCTTGTGTTACACTCCCCAAAAGGATTAGTGCAACTGTACAGTGCTTAGTCCATCACCATCCACTGAATTCAGTCTTACTGCACTTAATCCTAACACGAGTTCTGGGATTGGTGTAAACACCAAATAGCACAGACAGCATATTTTAAGACTGTGGACAGTTTCCAAGATATACCCACCTTCAGCTTGCCAAATGAGTCTGGCTGAAGATTAGATTTCCATGGCAAGTGGGAAAATGAGGCATTTCCAGGCTCATTTCCTTTCTTCAGTACTTGTGAGAGAGAACTAGCTGTGCTCACTCACTGGAGGAGAAACAAGTCAAAGGCTGTACCCAGCCTACACAAAATGAGGGCAACAACATACCACCCTACATTATTTAGGGAACCAGATGAGACTCCTGACCAGAGGACTTGCCTGTATCACTCCTAGGAGCCACCCCAACAAGGATGAAGAGTATGAGCATTAGAGCAGAAAACAAACATGAACCACAAAACTTGCTGGTTTCCCAGGGGAACTGCTAAACTTCAAGTTTCAAAATAAAGGACTCCCAGAAATCCAGCTAAGGCAAAAAAATGTGTAACACAGCACAACCTGCTAGATGATGGAAGCTACAGAACTTTAATGAATGATTGCTGCTGGGAATCCTACATTTTGTAATGGACTACAGCATCCAGTGCAGATGGAAAAGCTGCAGTTAGAGCTGTAACTATGTGTGATAGATTTTTCCTTGCAGACAATCAAGGATGATGGAGGCAGTAACAGACCTCCTGCCCATCTGCATGAAGCACAAGAAACCTGTCAGAACATGGGTACCACTATTTGAGCCACAGAGCTGGGGCCAGGCTTGCCAAACACAGCCTTGTAATGTCAAGTGCTGACTAAGCCAAGAAGCAGGAGCCACCATGACAAGGAACAGAAGAAACTGCTGCTCACCACAATGAGAAATTCCCACTCTCCATTTCCTCCAGAGAAGAAACCTTTCTGCTGAAAGGCTTCCTTGTTTGGTCTCACAGCATGTGAAACAAAAGGGAAGAAAGCAAGCAGGGTGCTTCTGGCAAGATCAGAGCTGCCTTTGTCACATTACCAAGTGCTGGGCAGAGCTGTTCTGGTCACACATCACGACTGCTCTGCATGTTTTCCACATCCCTAATTCTGAAAGACAGTCAAGCATCTGCATAACATTTGAAATACGTGTCTAATTACAAGACATAGTTTACATCTGAAAGTGGTGTGTTAAGACTAACTCTAAACCAAAATAATCCATTACACTTCCAGTATGATCATGTTATGAAGTCCAACTTCAAGGTTGGCAGACTATAGTTCTGAACATTTGGCCTAGGGTTTTTCTTCCTCCAGAAAATCCAAGAAAATGACCTGGTAAGGATTCAACATCAACAAAAATCCCCAAACTTAGGGGTTGGTTTTGTCATTATGTTTCAGGACAAACCGTAGTGCAGACTTTCAGATACAGAGGGTGGATGGTGGGGATGGAAGTGGGCAGGCTAGGACGTGGACAACACAACATGAACTCTCATATCCTCCCCATCTCTACTTCAGTGTGATTAACCTCTCTTAATAGTCTTGTGTGTCTGTGCAACATTTTTAGCAATTGCTAACTGAGTACCTGGTTGCAGGGTCTAAAGAATAAACTTAAAACCAGGCATTAAGGTTCAATATATAGGTGCTTAGAATAGAATTCTGAAAACAATTGTGCTGTACACTGAAATACGGTACTTGATTATCTTCACTGCTTTCACCCCATCCTGAACTGACACAATGCTAAACAGACCCAATTAATTCAATTAAAAAAGGCAACACTCGGTCTAGCAAAGTCATTCATTATAATATTTATTCTATGAAACAATGCTAAAAATACAAGATTAAAAAATGTTCCATGCATTTCATAAAATACAGAGAAAGACACTGTCATAAACAAAACAGAATAAGCAAGCCAAACACCCTCTGAAAATCCCAGGAGCTCCACTCTCCACATTGCATCACATGAATACAAAAAGTATATCCAGGAGAAAGAGCAGTCTGAGGAAAGTGGCAGGTTATCTGTCAATAACTGGGGTGAGTACATGTCTTGGTCATCAGCCCACAAGAGTTTTGCCATCACCTTTCTTACTACAAAACCAAACTGATTCAACTTGCTTTCCTTGCTACCAGTTCCTGGCATTATCTTTGGCTGGGAAACCAGGACAGCATAGCAGAATTCACATTAAGTTGCTGTCCAGAGAGGTACTAGGGCCCAAAATGTAGGTAGCTATGGAAAGGTATCAGGGCACAGTGGGTGAGAGGGAATGGCAGCTGTTTCCCTGTTGGAAGCAGGCTGCAGGGACATGCCTTGACCAGCTTCCCAGGAGCACAGCAGGTGGAAAATGCACCCACTAGAAAAGGATGGGCAGAAGTGATGCCTAGGGTGACTTTGTGATGCTTGTAGTCTGTTCTGTTTATGCTGGATATTGAGTTCTGCACCTTTAAGCCTGGTTCTGAGAGCAAAGGGCAGGAGAAGAAGTGCAGTTTGTTTGCAGAAACTGCACTTGCTCCCCTGCATTGTCTCTCATGGACTGTGTTGTCTGCAGCATGGGCAGCAGGACAGAGCTCTCCTTTGCCTTTAGTCAGCTTTTTTAGCTAGCTGAGGCAGAGAAGTTCCCCAGATTGTGGTGTTTCTTTTTCTTGGAACTCACTGGTCCTGCTCTGGACTGAAAACCCAGAAAAACATCAGGAGCTCGCACCTGTAGCCCACCAGGATGGAGCATTCTCTAGTGCAGGAGGAGAGACTGAGGGAGCCAAGCCACACCTCATGAAAAGGACCTTCTGAATTTGCCATCTCTTCAGAGCAGGAAGAGGTTTTATTGTTTAATATTATTCATTTTTTATGCTTGTGAATAATTTCCTTGTTAAATAAACAGAATTTTTCCACTTTTCTCCAAGGAAATCTTTTCCCAAACCAGTTGGGGGAGGGGCTGCTTGAATCTACTTTCTAGAGAGACCTGTTTGGAAGCTTCCTCCCAAATTTGTCCTAAACCAGGACAAGCAGGAAATGTATCTAGCACCTCTTTAAGAATCCCAGTCACACAAAAGACATGCTGCATTAAAGATGGATGACAAGAGCAACACCTGCATTTAGGTTACAAATGACATTGCTAAAAATCTTCCTGAAACATTTTGATCCAGCTCCTTCTCCTCAACCTTCAATACTGGGTTTGGCTTTAGCAAAGCTGTTACACGATTCATCTCTTGGTTTTCTTTTACAGAACCTCCCACACTCCCACAGCAGTTAAAAACCACATAACCACCAAACACAAAGCCAGACTAATTCTGGGCTCTGATGTAAAAGCAGCCCCACTCTTGTGCTGGGAATGCCCCAAAGCTGCCATTGCTGTATTTGGGGAGGGCAGTGTAAGGAAGAACAAGGCTCCACTTACACCAACACCTGCTGCTCCAAAAGCCCCACCCACAAAGCCTTAGGAACACCATAATCAAAGAATTTCATGTGGGGAGGAGCAAAGAGAAGAGAACAGACTGGGATCCTTTCCCTTGCACCTGGGGATGCATCCAGTCTTCAGAACAGCATCTTCCTCCTGCCAGCTCCCAAGCCACCTCTGCTGCACTGTGGAAGGTTCTCCATCGGCCTCCTGAGAACGATGCATGGGGGAAGATTGTTATGGTTGAAAAAGTGGATTTCATGTCAATCCTTAAAAACATAAAGCTGGAAATTCCTATTTTTTTTTAAATTCAGTGAAGTGTAATTTAGCCTGTAGCACAAACTATTACAAAATTAGAAGATATAGAATTGCCCTTGCTACACCTTAATTCTCTCCCTTTCCATATATATATATATATATATATATCAGGAATATGACTTTATATCTTCTCACTTTCCAATTCCCAGAAGAAACCTATTCCATTCCCTGCACAAGCACAAAGGAGTCAGAAAGAAGACACCATAGGAAATCCCATGTCCAGCATTTCTCTCTTGGGAGAGCTTGCAGCTAGAATAATGTTTTCTTTGTAAAGTTTTTAAAGTTCAATTATGTTTAATGTGCTCCATTCAGCTTGCATTAAAAAACCAGAAAATGCTGTAAGAAATTAAGGTCTTCACAGGTCTCCACAGGCTTTGGTGAAACACAGAGAGTCTTTTAAAATAATTGCCCAGCTTCCTCTATAGTGGAATTTCTGTGTTGTCCATGTAAACATTACACAGAGTCTTTGTACCACCCACTAAGCTCTTTGCTTCAATCAACTATTTCTGCCCAAAAGCACATCCTTATGTTTCTTCCTACACCACAGCCATCCTCCTACACCACAAAAGATGTAACAAAACAGGACTTAATCACAGGCTGGATACTTACAGGGATTGCTGCTGTTTGCCTCTGTCTTTGCAGCCTTGGCAAGTTTGGTTGAGTTCTGCTGTGCTTTGCCTTGCTCCTCTCCAGTTAGCAGGGCTTTTATTTCCGAGGGGATTTTCCCTTGGTCCATGGCCATGCACCACTGCTTGTACTGAAATATGCAAACACATTAGGCCTTAGCAAACTGCCAGGATCACATTAGCAGACAAAACAGGGCTGTAATCTTTACCTTCCGGTATATTCATTTAAGGTCTGAATGTACTGAGCTGAAGCCTCTTACGAAACTGCAGAGCCCTAATGAGCTGAGCACGTGGCCATGGCCGCATACCTGGCCTCAGCAAAGCCCCTTTCAGTCAATAAACTGCTGCTCACAGGCAGCACTGGACAGAATACTGTAATTATTAAACAACATGGAACACTCTGTGCAATTTCTCGCTGCTGGCATGCGAGAATGCCGTTCCAGTTCATGGCCTATTTAAAACAAATATTTCACATGACTGGGGCTGATGGACTACTAAGAGGTCCTTTCCAATTGTGCAAGGCACAGTGGAAGCACATGTGCCTTATTCCTACTTCCCTCATCTTAAATCCTTCACTGCCAAACCCTGAGGCACATCAAAAAACTGCGGACAGTTGGCTGGCTTTTCACCTGATCCTAAACCTGCTGACTTGTAGTGATTAGCCCTGCCCATTCAAACAAACCTCAAGTCAGGTCAACGCAGTGTCCTCAGTGCTGGTGACGTTTCAATGACACCACTGTGTCTGTGTTTCCAGATGAAACATTCTCTTTGGTTAATGCTGCTTATTTGGCCAAAACCCACATCTTACACATCCTGGAACCACCTACACAGAGAGCATGCTGCAAGAATCCACCTCCCCAACAGAGAAGCAATGGCACTCTGTGGATACATGTTTGCCCTTTGATATTTTAACACTTCTTCCCACAATCTACCTCTGTCAAAGGTTTTTCAAAACCAGACATTTCAAAGACAACAGACTCAAATGTAATGGCACTTCCTTTGCTTGCTTCCAGTTCAGAACCAGCAGATAACTTGTGACGTGAGTTTGTATTCTACACACCAAAGCAGGCAAACAGCTGGATGCATCTGATGTTTTGATACCTCCTGGCCAGCCAAATGCCACTGTCAGTCACCGTGGTCCCAAGAACAAGCGTTCATGAGGATAGGTCCCAGATAATACTGAGGGTTAGGTTAAATGGTAGTTCCTTACCATTTCAAGCTCTTCTCTGAGAGCACAGATGGCTCGCTCTCTGCTTGAAACCAGCTCTTCCAGGTACTGGTACCTCAGCTTCTTCCTGGCTCTGCACTCTCTTGCGCTCTGACGACTTCTTTCAAGTTTTGCCTTCAAGTCTATTTTGGCTGGTTTACGACCTCGTTTGCCTGGTTTCTTTACCTTGCCTCCAACCACCTGGAAAGCAAGGGCACAGTAAAGATCCTGTTCTCTAAAGGTTATGCTGGAACCATGTGACAATAACTATTAGGAGTCTCAAGTATATAATCTTGCAAATACTTTCTGGAGCAGCAGAAGAAATAAGAATGCTGAGCTCTGAAGTTTTCAGGATTCTCTCCAGTGGCTCTATTTCTCTCTCATACTGGGGAGCCCAGAACTGAACACACTACTTCAGGTATCTATGAGGGCATCTGGTTATTGAGGAGGCATAATCAGCTTGTAGTGAAATTGCTTCCATATCACCAACAGCCCCTGCTGCAGCAGGTCTGGAAATACTATATTATAGAGATTAACACTTCAATTTAGAAAAAAATATATTTGTTTCTATCAATATAATGCAAAACTTCGTTTTGCTGCAGTCAACAGTTTCAGCCTACTCTAAATTCAGAATTATTCACTAGTGAATAAGCTTCCTTGGGCTAGATTTCTTTCAATGGAATCTTGAGGAATTTTACTGAACAGGGAACGCAGTCACATCGAGTCCTATCTTTGTTGCCTCTGCTCCAGCAGTGCATCACCACCCTGACCATATTCACCTTCAAAACATTACTCCACAGCCCAGTGAGTCTCCTCACACCTCCTCACACAACCTGGCAGTGCTGAACTCTTCCCTGTTCCTAATGTAGATCCCCCTTGCAGAAATGTAACTCTCCTGTTTCTTGCCCTATGGAATGCAGGTTTTGCAATCACTTTCCCCTTTTCTTTGTAGCTCCTTTTTTATAGGTCTGAGAGCTTCTCCTGCTACGAATATTTTTTTTAAATAAAAATAAAATAAACCCAGTTTACTCTGTGTTTTCCCACTCAAATATTTTATTCTTAACATAGGGGCATGGCACAAGAAAATCTTAAATATGGTCTGAAGATTAGTTCACTGTTCATTGGGCGGTATCACCCAGTAAACATTACATCAGCCACACACCCCAGCTCTGCACTGAAGTGAGGATTTCTCTTTATTTGCATTCTGACCACACTGCTTGACTGGAGGGGGTGTGGAGAAATACACCTAACACACACACCTGCATACAAGAATTTCACTGCTGCCTTAGTATTTCACCATCCTGCACACAGACAGACTTTTTCTAATACACAGTGTTTAAAATATCGGAGTTCATTATTTTAAAAAAAGCACTTTTACTGTGAAAAGCTCCAAAATAAGTAATTTTTAACATTCAAAGAAGTCACTTGTTCTGCAAACTTAGCAAGCTGCAATAAAAACAATAACATAGTGAATTGATGTGCCAGAATGGAGAGGGAAAAAAAGGATTATACAATTGAGCCTATTCTTTCTTTGGAAAGTGAGTCAACAATCACATGCCAACATAATCCTACCCTCTCTGTATTGTCCCTCCTGATTTATTCAGGAGTAGCTGCCTACCACAAGCAAATGAAAGAACAGAAAGTACTTAATGGACATCTATGATAATGAAACAAACACAATACATTCAGAAGAGCAAAGGAAAAAAAAATGAAGCTGTTTTACACTTGAACTGCTGAATACAGTTTAAATAATTCTTTACTTCAAGGTGCTCCCATTAAGGTTTTCTACTTCAGAAAATCTAATCTAATGTAGTTCAAAGTAAGATAAAACTAAGCAGACGTGGCCAAGGCAGGGGGCAGGAGCTCTAAGGAAGGGAAAGTGACTGTCCCCTTTCAGGCATGACAAGGTCTGTCCTCTCATGGAAACACTCTCCTGGCTATGGATGACACACCCAGCTCAGCAGAAGGTGGAACTACACAGAATCTTCCCAGGTGGGGCTGCAGGCACTCACACTTTGCTCTCTATTATTACTTGCACTTGGAAGATTGATGGATATTACATTATACACACTACAGACAAAGCACTTCAGCTTTCAAAGACTTTCAGCACCTGAGGCTTTTTCTGTGCTAATGCAAGGCAGTTCAAAGCAAATCTTTGCATTCAAGAGCTAGATAAGGTCTTGTAGAGACACACACTGCAGCTCTCTTAAAAAGCCCTGGCCACTCGGGGTTCTGACCCTCTAGATCTAGAGTGAGCTGCCACTCAAGGCTGGGGCCCCAGCACACACCACCCTGCTGTGTGAACAAAAAGGTACCTAAAGTGAGTCCTAGCCCTGCACAGGAGCACTGAGAGCCATGTCCTCTCCCCAGAGCCTCAGGCAGGTGAATGGTTCCCACCACACCATTTCTCACAATCAGCAAGTTACAGACTGCACATGGCAAATGCATCCTGGATCCACCATTATCCATAAATTGCTTTCCCTTTGGTCACTCCAGAGAGCTTTCTACAGATAGGTGTGCCAACTGCTCTCTCTACAAGATATTTTACCACTGCACACAAGCTCCCTCAGGGCAGGAAAAAGGCTTGTACCTCTTCAACCATTCAACCACGGTTACCTGCAATGCTCTAACCACCAGGACTACGGAGATAATGAAAAGATTCCTTCCCTTTTGACTCTAACAATCTGCTTTCACACCATCCCCAAAGACTCATACTGTCTTCATGGCTCCTCGAGTTCACCACACAATTACACATCACCCTGAAAAGGCAGCAATGCTAAGCAATTTAACCAAATCCTGCATCCTTATCAGTTTTTCCTCACCAGTATTTAGAAGCTCCTGCTGTAACCTCAAGCAACCCAGCTGGGGAATAAAAGGCCTGAGAAATCCTTTGCCCCCATAGAGCATTACCATATTTCCCTGGCTTCTAGTCCTGTTTCCTGCTCAGTTGCTACACTGATGTGACAGAAAGAAGACAAAGCAGAAGTGATAGTTGATGTTGAACATGGCAACAGACCAAGCACAGATTTTTTGTCCCTTTGTATTCCTCTGCTAGTTTATAAAGAGATGTGATCTATTAGCATTCAGCAGTTGAGATTTGGGGTTTTTTCAGGGAGTCATATGCAATCAAGACTCAGAACAACATCAATCATAAAAATTTTCATAGAAATATTAATAAAGGCATGCATTAGTTGGAGATCTGACCAAGCTTCCATTTCAGTTCACTCAGAATTCAGAAAATAGAAGAACTCTTTTCTCAGGCACATGGTGTGATTCTTGGGGTGTCCTGCACAGGGCCAGAGTTGGACACGATGATCCCAATTGGTCCCTTCCAACTCAGCCTCTTCTGTGATTCCACAATTTCCTTTTAATACCCTGCTTAGATCATAACCTCATTCTTGCCTCCCATCAGTGTCCAGGCACAAAGTTATTTGACCTGGAATTGGAAATAGCTGCAATTACTTGACCTGATACAGAAAAATCCTCAGACTTATGGGGTTTTTTATTAGAAGCATGCAGCAGATCTCTCCAAAATCCTTGCCAGAATGCTCAGCAGAGAAGTGCTCCACAGGAAGGAGATGCACACCTCATACAGCTGCACTGCATCAGCTCCTCACTCACAACCCTGAGGAGCTGAGCCCCTCAGACAGAACACTGGAGTGGAGTTGGCCTCATCATGACATCTGCAAGTTTGAATCAATTTAGCAGATTAAAGCAACAGCACCCCAGGCCCTGCTCAGCACCACTGACGAGCAATGCTGATCACACTGACCAGGTCAGCATCTGCCACCAGCTCTGAGCTCATTTACCAATAAACAAGCAGCTCCATCAACCAGTACTTGAGATCCATCTTAGGCACACTCTGCACTGCATTGGCAGCTGAAGGTGTAGGTCTGCAGAACTTAATGCAGCGTGGAACTGGTGATCATCTACAGAATTTACATAAAACTATAAAAATTATTAGTAAGAAATAAAACCTAAGGGCTCTGTTACAGTAGACGGGGGAAGAATCTATTCCTACTTAGAAACATTTTTACAAAATCAGAAAGCAAATGAAGCCAGTCACAAGTCTCCTAATAAAGATGAAGTTTTCTGATCTTCCAATTCAAAACATACCACTCAGCAGCAGTACAAAACCCAGCTAGAGAGCATGATTGTTATTCCTCCATTTCATGACATTTTATATGCCCAGCACAATTCTTTTACTTTCACTGGCAGACAAAATGCATCCAATAATGATCCAAAAATGTAAGATACTATTTAGTGAGCAAACACAATCTAAGTCTTAAGCAGATGTGTCAACAGAAATTAATCCTAAAACCCTCACCATACAAAGTGCTTCATGCCTTAAGAATGCCACGTTCAGCACAGAGGCATAAAGAACACTGTCTGTCTTTGCTGCAATGTCTGCTTTTAAAAAGCATGATAAATGTCAAGTTTTCATAAAGTGTTATGGAGGCACCAGGGCAGCAGTCACTCAGATGCCACTTTGTCACTCACAGGTGACAGCCCTGCTCTTCTCTAAGGAAGGACTTACAGCCTCACACAGGAGTTATGTCCATCACTGTGCCCTACAAACTCTCTCAGGTCTCACTAATAGAAACCAGGCACTTTTCTAAACCTGTCTCTGTTAGAACTCAGGCTCAGGGATGGTGAGCTAACTCTACCATGTGAATCCTCCCAGCCCACTGTGACAAGGAAATAAAGCTGTTCCAGCTGGTTCAGAGTCTTCAATCTCCTCCATTTTAATTGCTCCTTGCAAATATGAGCATTTGTGTCATCTGAGCAATGCTGAGCAGGAGCTTTTTAAAACATTTAATGATTTCAAATTGCTCCCATCAAACTATAACCAAAGCTGTTAAAGTTTTATATCACCAAGCAAGCAGTAATGAGATGCTTTGTTTGAACATTATAATGAATGGATAGAGGGATGTTAGTTCTCATGAATGTTGAATGTATGTTATAAGGATGAAAGAAGTAAAGAAGTTTTGCTAAGACCTGGTTTTATATAGGGTTGTTAGGGATGGGGTGGTGTGCCTCTGGCTGCAGCTAAGCACCCAGAGCTGTCCCTTCTTCCTTACTCAGTCCCTTGCTGTGATTCAATAAACCTTTTAAAATTCTAATACTTGAGGCATTGTTGCTCACAGACATGATCCTGGGTGGAAGACTTCTCCAGCACATGGAGAACCTGCTCAGCACCTACTCTGAAAAAGCCCTGAAGGATGAAAACACACAGCTCACCTCCTTAGCAACTGAGGTCATGTCCACAGCAGCTCTGTCCCTGCTGTGGCACTCAGAGCACTACCCAGAGCTGCCTCCAGGACTGCCTGGGACATCTCTCTGTCCCTGATCCCCACCAGCCCAGCAGTGAGGGTCAGAGGCTACAAGACAGCTCATGGCCAAAGACCCCATCAAGCTCTGTATTTGAAACACAAGATTTCACACCTGCCTGCTCCCACACTGCCTCCAAGGGACACCTGCATCCCCATGATCATGACTCAGGACCACACAGGACTCAGTATTGATGTCTCACAGCCAGGCTGTGTGGAAAGCAACCCAGCTCCTTGGCTGTAGCCTGTTCCTGAGAGCCTGCCCCTGCTGGAACACCATGTGTTCTTTCAGAAAGGAAAGCTGCATGAACACCAGAGCAAGAGATCAACACTTGCTGGATCCACAAATATAGTAATATATTTTCTGTGCAAGACAAGAATATTTATAATAAAAGACAGGAACCCCAACCTTTTATTGGTGGTGGTCTGGTTTTTGTTTGCTTGTTTTTAACTTCTCTGGAATAACAAAAATGACCTTACAAACATTTATTTCTCATTTCTAGCCGTAAACTGAAAAGTTAATTACCGAAATAAGTCTTGTCAGTGTCCCCTATAAAAAACTCTGTAATTAATGCAAAAGATTGCAGTTAGCTGTATAAAATTGTGTTTTAATGTTGGCTAACAAGAGTTACCAAAGTTCTTTCCCTAGTCCCTATTCTCTGCTTCCCAATGCATATAATAAATACATAATATGTTGTATGTAGTCTTGTAAACTAACCAAGAAATTTCACCTATAAAGGCTGAAATCACATAAAAGAGCTTCTCCTTTTTCCTCTGTCCAAAGACCCCAGAGATGCACAACGGATGTTTTAACATGGATTAGCTGCAAGTAACAGCTACATCACTAAATTCTTTCCCTTCCACACCCAAGAGCTCAAATCACAGTGAGAAGTGAGGCCAGTACCTGAACAACCCCAGGTTAAAAGCAGTTCCACAGAAGAAAAGGAGGTCATATTTTGGGTGGGGGTTTTTTGTTTCTTTGTTTGGGATTTTTTCTTGGTTTGAGTTTTTGGTTTGGTTTTTTTTTTTGTGTGTGTGTGTGAATATGTTAAGAGCATCCTTCTGAAATTAAACACTTTTTTTTTTTTTTTTTTTTGTGTGTGTGAATATTTTAAGAGCATCCTTCTGAAATTAAACATGAAATTTTTCTAGATATGATCTGATTAAGATTTTCTACTTCTCCCTTCATTTCTTGCTATTTCCTTCCAATTTTGAGGAATGTGTTGACAAGAACCACTCTTCTAATGCCCTGTTAAACCAGACAAGGCTAAATTAAAGTGCACTATGAATTAGGGAAAACTTTGCAGCCTGCAAGCTCAGTTCTAAACTCTTTGTGTCATTTAGATGAAGGCAACCACTGAGCTTGGCTGCAGGCAGTTACACAATGGTCACTACACCACCAACACAATTTAGTTGATTCAGTTTTTGCAGGGAAAGTCCTTTCACAGGCCAACCCCCTCAGCAAGGAGGAAAGCATGACTCAGTGGAATTTTTAGGAGATTTCAAGGACATGCTGACTCCAGTGCAGCCACAGTGGCCATAAAATGAGGTATAAATAGTGCTTGCCTCACCCTGACACAGCAACCTGCAATGGGAAGAGCCCTCCTAAGGGAAATGGCATCTCTTGAACAGTCACCAAACCCTCAGGGTGACCTGCAGCCTCATGAGCTATAAAAACTGTACTTGGGCGTGAAGATAGCAAGAAGAGTGAATATTCCACTTTGCTGTTTTTCCCTAGTCAACTCAACATCAATTTAAAAAAGAAAAAAAGGCCAAATATTTCACTTAGTGACTGGGTAAATAGATTTATTTTATTTAGTAAATGTGTCAAAAATGTTTCAGCGAAAATTACTTTATTTAGTAAATGTGTCAAAAATTTTTTCAAGGGGAAAAAAAAAAAAGGTATACTATCACAATGGCAGACCAAAAATGATTTTTAAATTAAAATCTGGAAGTTGGGTAATACAAAAAGCCTAAGTCAGACAGAAAAGAACACAAAAAAGAAATAAAAATCAGATAATACTCATGAACTATATATGCCTCCAGAACTAAATCTTCTGGATCTTCTAAACTACTGCCCCAATTACACAAACTTTCATGCAGTTCCCAGAGTTGTGAGAGATCAGTGATGCAGATTTCCCCCAACCTCCTTGACAGCTTTCAGGCAAGGCCTTAATAAAATAAAACAGTATTTAACAGCACGTTAAAATAGCAGATCACCATAAACCTTTCACAGCCTTACAACCCCTTCAGTGGATTGTGGACTGCCAAATTGCCAAGAGCCTCACTGGTTGCTCCTTCCATAAGAAATCGTGTCAGGCATTTCCCCCCCCCTTTTGAATTAAGGCAGCTCTTCAAGGCTGTGTAATTTTGTTCCAGTAAAATTCCAGCGGTGTCCCCAGCACCACCCCCGGGATAACCCATGACCAGCACTCCAGGGAGCTGAAACACCCAGCCCCAGCTGAGCCTGAGCTGCACAGCGCTGCAGGAAACTCCAGAAGCGGCACCGAAGCGCTGCAAGCAAGAACTAAAAGGGCAACCCCTCCTTCCTATCAGCTGCGGCAAGCAGAGCTCCTCAAGAGCGGATTTCAGAAGGCTCCCTGCACCAAGAGCCTCACTGGCTGCTCTCGGCTCCAGCTCCCGGGCGGGCCCCGCAGGCCCTTACCTTGCTGTCATCCATGTGTGCCGCCAGTCCCGATCCCCCTCGCCGCAGCCCCTGCCCGAGGAGCAGGCGGAGCCGCCCGCCCGCAGCCCCGGCGGACACCGGCGCTCACAGAGCCTCAGGGCCGCCCGCGGAGGCCGCCATCGCCCGCCGCCATGTTTGTTTACAGATGAGGGGAGCGGTAGTGCCGGCAGAGCGGTGCACGCTGGGAAGTATAGTCGTGTTCGGCCCCGTCGCTATTGGGCGCCGCCCTGACGGGGACCGAAAAAACTACAACTCCCAGGAGGCCCATCAGAGGAGAGACGCGGTGATTGGTCCTCGCCTCGCCGACCGGGCGAACTACATTTCCCAGGAGGCTCCTGGCGCTCTCCGCCTCACCACAACGAGTGAATTTGTTGTTTTGTTGGTGGTTTTTGCGTTTGTTTGTTTGTTTATTTGTGTTTTCTCTAACGCTCGCACCATTCCACGGCTGTTCTGCTGCAACTACAATGGCTCTGGAAAGATGACCGGAGTCTGGTGGGGCCAGGGCTACCAGCTGCGGCCCTAGCACAGGCTGTCTCTAGCTAGATGAAAAATAAAAAAAACCCCTAACCAATAAAACAACAAATTTAAGGTTTCTGCTGTTTTTTGCCTTGCTTTGCTCTAAGAGTTCCTGAAGGCAGAGCCGAATTTTCCAGGCCTGGCCACCACTGCGCTGCCGCAAGCCTGGAGAAGCAGTGCCTGTAATCCCTGGAGAACACCCAGTTTCCCTGGGGACACATGGCACAGGTCTCATGTGGGATACCTGAGGTAAAGCCAGGCCTTCATCCCGTGTCTGTGCCCCCAAATGAGGCCTGTGCTTGCTGGAAACTCCCGGGTACCCCGGTACACAATTCCCTTAAGCGTGGCCCACGTTTCAAGCTGGTGGTGAAACCTGAAGCTTGCCGTGTTTCATGTTGCTGCATGTTTCTTTTTATTCATGCAGGAGTTTCCCATGACTTAATCTGTTTCACATGCAATTGTTAGGGCTGAAGGCTTTGTCATGGGATTTTCCCCCTGAATCACAGACCTTCCTCTTGGAGGGATATGCTTGCTAGATGACAGAGACAAAGCACTTTCTGAAGCTTTTTTTTTTTGGTTGTTTTTCTTCTATGTCAAAGACAAGGCAGTTTGCACACTGCTTCGTATTTGCTTGTCCAAAAACCAGTAAATCAGTTCTGGCAGCTCTCCCTTGAAATAACAGTAGTAAAAAACCAGGGATGATCAATGTGTCAAACAAGAGGCATCACTAATAAAGTGGAAGGAATAGCTTGCTATGAGCTTGTCTCACCCCCATTTTTACCTTCAAATTCTTCCAGAAGGTGGTGAGGCGCCTCCAACTGCCTTTGGCACTATCCTCGGGCCATAAAGCTGGCTTTAAAATCCAGCTGGGGGTTTCCCCGGTGAAGGGAAATATTGAGTGGCACAGAGCCAACATAGCTCACTTAGGCAACTCTCTGTTGCAACATGAGTGGAGGAAGGAGATTAGACAGAGCCCTGGTGCTGATTCAGAAAGGCCAGGATCCTTTTAACCAGCAAATTAAAGTTATAGCTGCATCTTTTCTTCCCACTCGATTGCCCCACACTACCCATCCTGCTTTATATCATTTAAGAAGCAGAGCTCCCAGCTTCTGAGCGGGATAAAGCACAAGTTCCCTGCCTCAGCACTTAAGAGCTTCTGTATGTTAGCAGGGAACAACTCAAACTGCACTGCAGGGTGCTTTTCCACTCTGGCTCTGCTGTCCTCCTGGGTGAATTCGGACATGTGAGTTGAGTGGGAGTCTGTCAGAAAGAACAATTGTGAATGGAACTGGTATTATTTAGATATATATATGCACATACAAAGAGAGGATAAGATTAAGACAGGTTAAACTGATTTTAACCGTTTAAGCATTTAAACCATAGTGATGTACACCAAGGAAATCCTACTTTGTGTTACATTTAGCATCGCAAATTGTTTTGTGCCATAACTATTGGCAGGTCCCTGATGAAATTAGTAATATTTGTTAAAAGAAGGGTTGTGTTTCCGAGATCCAGAGAGACTTTGAAGAAGATAAATAAAGTGAGTTCAGCAATCAGGCAATAGCTTAAAAATCATTGCTTATGTCAGTGTGACTAAAAAAAGAGATATAACTCACAGGGTGATTTTGCACCATGTGCTCGTATTTCAACACATCCCAACAGGGCGTTTATTCTCCCTAGATCTGTAAATGTGTTAATTCAGGCAATTCAAAATCTGTTCCTCTGAAATCCTGCCTGAAATAAAAATAAATCTTGCAATCTTTTGGTATCAAGCATTTTGCTGAAATCGCTCCACTGTGTATTTGTGGAGTCTTTAGAGATTCAGAGCCTTTGAGATGAGTTCATTTATGGATGTGCAGGCAAAGATAAAGCTAAGATATTCCCTTGTTTGTTTTCCAAATGTACTGAGATGTTAATTGCTTTAATAGAGATGCTAACTCATTTGCCATGGGGCAAAGACGGTGCAAGAACAGCTTGTCTTTCAATCCCTTGGGGTTTTTTTGTGGAAGTGATAGAGAAATTGCACTTTTCTGCAGCCTTTAATATGATACCCAAGAAATGTTTCTGGAAATAGAAGAAATTCTGTCTTTCAGTTTGTAGACTCCATTCACACCGAGACAGAGAACACCTTTAACTTGTCATTTAAACCCACCAGTTAAAGCATTTGTAACCGAGGAGTGACCAAAAAAAAGTTCATTTACCTAATATTCTATATCTTATTGTTGTTCATATAACTAGGATAAATGTATACCAGTTTGTTGTTGGTTTTTTCTTACATTAGAGAGATCAGCTATATATGCTAAAGACCTGGAAGACCTGGTAAACACATGAACAGCACATGCTCACAAGTACAGTGATTGATCACCTCATTGGTATGATTAAAAGAAAATTCTGTTTAAAACAAATGTTCTTTGAAAGATGGTTTTTAAAACCTAATCAGTGTTTGAACAAAGCACAGCACATTGGAAGCCTGATCTGCTACTACTTCCTAAACAGTGTATAATTAAATGTTGATAAGGGGGTTACTCTCATATTTGCTAAATTCTACTTTGTGGCAAGATGAGCGCCTTCTGTAGTTGCAAATGCGTAAAGTCGCATCTGCAAGGGGAGTTCTTCCTGTTTAGCTCTTGCAAATGTACTTCTCAAGTAAAAGGGACTCGAAATAAGATAATTTGGAATAATCAGCTCTTGTCCTGTGCATACACACAGGCAGAAAAGTTACTGCTTTATCTAGCCAGACTAACTTTCCCACATAAGCAAAATCTTGAGACAGTGCTCATGATGCTTTTATATTGCTGAAGGGTATCTGTAAATTAAAATATTGCATGAAAATGTTTATGCTGCAGCTGGAAAGGAGCTACTTCATATTTTCTAGCTTGTGGAAGGGAGGAAAAGTTAGATGATAATCCTACTCTTTACACATATGATTAGTAGTTCTAAATATGATCAGAGGGAAAAACTAGAAATGGTTCAAAAAGTCATTTGATTAACATGGATTTCATACAAAATTTAAACTAAATATAAGAAACTGAGAGCCAAGGATCAAGACAAACAAATCACTGATTAAGAAGATGACAAAGAGTGGGTTAAAGTTCAGTGAGGTGTGCAAGTGAGTAAAATTTTACCTTATCCTGAAACAACAAACAAACAGAACAGCACAATATGCCATATTCAGGAATGTGAGAGCCATGTTGTATCTGGCACTTGAACAACAGAGGATTATTGCTGCTGATATGGTAATTGCAGAGGTACAGAAGAAAAGTGGGTGGATCATGTGAAATTCATGAAATACTTGAGGTGAACTTACAGCAGGATTAGTCTTTTAATTGTGTACATTGATCTCTATGCACAACTGGTTTACTAAAAAGGCATATTGTTCATTCTCAAGAGGTTTAAAAATCCATTTCAGTTCAGTGTCTCTTTTTTTTTCGGTTCTTAAAATATTTTGCAACATGCTACTCCCCTTTGGCCTACGCAAACAAATATGTCTGCATATGCATACCTACTAGAGCCAGTCAAAACTGCTGTCAGTAGCTGGCTTTTCTGGTAAGAGCATTTCTGGTTGCTTTCCACAAGACAGAAAATCATTTTAAACACTTTTGTCCAGCCCCAGATTCTGTGGCATGGGCTGTGCTCACATTCAAAACATTTACTAATCTAAGTCTGATACTGTTGTTTTGTCCAAGGGCATAAACAAGGTTTCTGCACAGACTGAGCAAAAACTGAAGGACTTGTATGGCAAGCTGGATTTCTGCACTGTAACTGGGTCAGAGGATTTCCATGATGACCTTGACCGCTGTCAGAAATGCCATTGTCCCTTATGTGAAAGGTTGGGGCATCGCATACAGCACTTTGCCCAGGTCTGCACTGCTCACTCCATCTTAAGTCAGCATCATACCTGCTAACTTCTGTTTTGCAGCTGTGTTTAAATGTACTGGATTTCCTGTGTTGCTGTAGCTGCCCATTAGCCTTGTATTTGTGTTTAATGAGGTTTGTATTTAATTAGATTGCTCATGTGAACAGGAGTTAGAGGATCAAATCTGCATCGCAAAAAGTGTTGCATTAATTTGTAATAAATGTAAATGAAGGATACACTCCTGGATAACACACACTAATTCACAGGGAATTTCACTGCAACAGGGAAAATACACAGCAGGCACCTGGGAGGTGACAGGCTGCCTGCCTCACCCATCCATGTCCATGCAGGGGAAATGAAAGTGGGTTGTTTCAGAAATACACTGAAAAAAGCACTGTTACTTCCTTACCCCTTAACCTGTTGTCAGCTCCCTTCTTCATGGCTCCCAAAATGTTCCTGACATGTCCCAATGTTCCCATTCCACCAATACCTCCCGAAAAAAAAAAATTCACCAACTTTTCCCTTCCTTTGGAGAGAGCTGGGGTTGTTCAGCCTGGAGAAGAGAAGGCTCCAGGTAGATGAAAGGGGAAGAACAATAACAGGTAACACTTTTTTTAATGTGACTGGGGCTACCACAGTTTGACTCAGTGGGTAGGTTGGTTTTAGAGGATGTTACTTTTGAGCATGTATTTTGAAAAATAGCCTGATAAAATTTTGCATTTTACTGCACTGAGCCTGCAAAAATTTGCCTATCAGGGGGGCCAGGTACAACCCACTAAAAAAGTGCAGATACTT